GAAATATTCTAATTACAAACTTTAAAAAAATGGTATTAGCTAAAATAATTCTATTAAACTCATAGATTATAGTGTTAATCAAATAATGATATGTCATATATTTTAAATTAAATTATTATTATTTTTAATTGTGAAAAACTTTAGATTCATAATAATGTTAATGAAAAATTACACCTATTTTAAATCGATAAATAATATATTTTCTTTTTTCATGTATTTATGTTACATTTTCTTCTTCAAATAGATGCTGACATAAATGTCGATTTCAAGGATTTATTCTTTGCTTTCGAATTCAAACAAAATCTCATCAAGTGCATCATTTTCAAGTATTCTTTCTCATATTCAATTATCAACAAAAAAAAAAAAAGAAAGAAAAACATAAACAAACCTAAGTTTTGTTGGCGTATCTAAACAACCAGCATCACATGCATATGCTTGAGCATTTTCACTATCGATTGATACATCAATAACAGCACGATTATCATGTCCTACTGTAATACTTATATTTATATGATATTGTTTACCAAATTTAATTGAACGAAAAAACATATCACGATGAAGTTCTTTTGGATCTAAATACATTTCAAGATGATGATTACGAAAACGTATACCACCAATTGAAAGTAATATTGATTGTAGAACACCATTGACACCTTTATAATGATATGTTAAATTATTTTAATAAAATAAAATTAAAAAAAAAAAAAAAAAACATCATACCACTACGCATTAATGTAAAACAACCTTTACGAGATAATGTTGAACGCCATAGATTACTTAATTGTGAAACAGCTAAATCATCACCTGGTGATACCCATAATGTTTTACCAATTCTATTAAAAGAGAATTATCTGAACTGAAATTTTAGTTTAGATTTTTCTTACAAGAAGATATCATTAAGGCTAGAAAAAGTCTAAAATAATTCGTTTTACATAGGTATTTGAGGTGAAGTAAGGATCTTTTTTTACTGAATTTTTGTATCCAACTTTAGGAATATATTCAAAGAAGAAAAAAAATGATTTCTATGCTAGAAATCATTTTTAACGCCTTAAGAATGAAAATAATGACTGAAAACGATGAAAAACTATCAGAAGCCATTAGAAATCACTTGAAATCATAGAAAATCTCTAATAATATAATTAAAAATAACTTCCATATTTCTATCGATTTTCAATTATTTTTCAATATCCTTGGTGATAATTTTTGATTTTTTTCTTATTTCTAAGCATTTCCTATAATATTAGTTTCTTCCCTCTTAAATATACCTATCAAATCAAAAAGTAACATTTTAACATCAAGTTTTGTACATGAATAAGACGAATGATCCATAGAATATTGTAAAAGTTTCAATCGAAAAGAATATTCTTTTTTTTCCAAAATATTGAATTTTCAAATAAACTCAAGTTTTGTATCATGCACATACTAAACAAGTATTCTATGATATTTCAATTTTTTGACAAAAAGAACATTCTACAAATCATTCGATCTCTTTCTATAAGCAAACTTTTATGTCGAAATTATTTTTACAATTATAAGCCTGAATTCATTCGAAAGTTCTGTAAAAACGATCTTATTTTGATTTCAAAAAGTCTATCAGAATGAATGCTATTAAGATTATCCTAATCTTATTGAGATAATTTTATATGTTCAAACGACAAATATGAGTTCGAATAATTTTCTTGTTAATAAATTAAACTTACAATGTTGAATGACTTTCATAACATTGATCAATTTGAAAAAGACTTTGATTTAATTCATTTCTTTTTGTTTCATTTATATTTAATTCATAAAGTGGTGCAGGTGTTGAACAAAGTATATAATAAATTGTTCGATTAATAACATCACCATTCATAGTTGATGGTGCTAATGAACGACTCATTGTAAAACCACTTTGCCATATTAATGACCATGTATCAATATGTTCTTTTAATAATCTTATTGATGATATTGATAATGCATCTGACATATCATATTTAGCTTGTTTTTGTAATTGTTCTTGTATTTCTTGAGAATAAGTTTTATTAAGTAAAGAATTTTCAGAAATAACTGAAGAAAATTTAACTACAGTTAAAATTATTTGTTTTTCAGGGCTAAAATTTAATAAAATATTTTAATTAATATAAATAAAAAAGAAAAATTTGCAAATTTATTTGTAGAACTTACCTACCAGGTTTAACATGACAATTTGATATAATTTTATTTGTAATAATAACATAAATAATAAAATTATGTTGTCGAATAGATAGTTGATTTGTTATCATTAAATATATATCGTTAGTTGAATCAAATTGAATATCACGTTGATCAAGTTGTTTTAAATCATTATTTGATATTTGATTTTTTTGTTTAAAATCAAGATCAAGTGAATGTTCACTTGGATTTATAATATCAATTTCTTGAACAATTAATGATGGCCTTTTTCGATGTATATATAATAAATGTGTGACATGTGCTGAACGTTCTTCACTAAATTTAAAACATTGAATACGTCTTACAAGACCTTCTTTCATTTGTAGTATTGTTGCACTAGAATCTTCCCATGTATCCGAAGAAATTCTAACAATAGGAGAATAACCAGTGGAAATAAATGATGAACGAATATCAGTTAAAAGTTGAATTTGAGATTGACTTGATAGAGAAAGACCAAGATAACCATTGCCTATTTTAAAAAAAACAAAGAGAGAAACATATGCATTAAAAAAAATGAACATAATGATACTGTCTATTGAAGAATTTTTTTAATTCACTGTTTGTTACCTGAATGATATCTTTTTCTTTTTCATTAGATGACAATAGAACACTGCACATACGTTTTTTGTGTTAAAAATTTCGATATTCTTCTTTTAATCTAATGTTTTTATAGTGTTATATATAAAGCATGAATTTTTCATTTTTCTCAAGACAAATGTCTCTCAATTAATAAATTGCTTTGAAGTCGAGACTACGTGCTTTGAATAGAACAAAATGAATTATGAATACTGTAAAAGCAATTCAGGCTATTAGAATATTGATGTGACAATATTGCATTTTAATGGTTGTTTTTAAAGGAATATCGTGTTACTCCTGAGTAGAGTTCGGCGGTTCTAAAAAGTACTCGGAACCGGAATCGGAATCGCAGTTCTGACTCTGAATCCGGTTATTAAAAAATAAGAAAAAAAGCAATTCCGATTATGTTTACAAAATATAACATAAAACCAGAATCATTAAATCATCAGATAAATACGAAAAATTTTCAATGTATTTTGAGGAATTTTCATTATTGAATTATTCGTGATTAAAGACGCCACATATTTTAGTACTTATACATCGGATTCTACTTTTCCGGAACAAAGAAAAAACTAATTTTTGAATTTCAACTTGAAACTCAACCCGTATGCAATTAGGTTCCTCATCGAAATAATTATAATTTTGTTTTCATATAAGTTTCTTACTTTTATAATGATTCTCACCGTGACGGATATGAAATTTTAGTGAATGCGACGATCCGTAGTCACACAACATGTTTTGAAGTCAATTTACAATTTGTATCGATTCATCTTTTTTAGTGTTTTCTGTCGAGAAAAATAGTTTGGAAGGGAATGACGATCATCTCTCTTCTCCTCTCGATTCACTCCTGAATTTTCAACAAATCATGTGAAATAACTCTTACTATAAAATATCTAAAGATATATAGTTACTTTTTTATTTAATGATTCTGTTATTCGAAATCTTTTCTCTTCTAACCTGTGAAGGGTAAACTGACAATTTCTCCATATTGAATTGGTTCATGATTAAAAATAGCATTCATTTCAGCTTGATCACGTAAAAACTGTTCCAATCTATTTTGTAAACATGCATCATATTGAACTAAAAAAATAAGTAAAAATAAAATTATGAATCGATTTCTTTAGTTTATTATTATTATTATTATTTTAACACATACTATTTTGATAAGGTACTTGACGAGGCATCCATTTTGATAAAAGATATAACATAGTGATAGCACTGATAATACAAAATAGAATTGATCGTCGAGATCTTAATTAAAAATAAAACAAAAATTATTCTATTAGAAGAATGAATACGGCGAAGTAAAAGAAACATATTCAATTTTGATATCAACAAAAAAAAAAAAACGTACTCGAATGATTCCTAAGAAAACAATCGACTAACTATTTCTAGTTTAATGTGATCTTATATCTACTGTATAATAAATTACAAAATCATACTGTCGAATAATATAAAATCGACCACCGATTGTTATTCCAAAATGCATATTGTTTTTTTTTTTTTGTTGAAAGAAAACACTTAATTAAAACCTACATCAATAGAAATATTTTGATTCAATGATATTTAATTACAAAAATCAATAAATTTTGACTTACCTACCTTCGTTTTAAACGACGATATGTCATTCCATATCGACGATCAAGAGTTTTCATTATGTTCTAAAATAAAGAAATTGATAAAAACAATATATACATTAATAAACATCTTACTTTCAGATCAATAATCATGACAAGTTGAGTAATAATCGAATCGAAACTATCGAGCTCTAGTATACATATTTTTATTGGTCGATTAATAATGAACAAACTTTGATATACTCTTAGCGACATCATATAAAAATAATTTTTTTTTTATTTTAATTAATTTATTTTAAATTATAATATATATAATTTTTTCTATTAAAAATCTAATATAAAAATGTAAATATAAATAGAATATAAAGGAAGTCCAATAATAATTAGCGTTGTACTACTTGAATGGCTGTTGTCTTCGTCACCATCATCACTTTCGACTCTATTACCAGCTTTGTTTGATCCATCTCGATAGGGTTGTCATCCATCACCTTGTACTTCTTCCCTCCTGTACTATGCATTTCAAACTTTTTTTTTCTTCATTGACATAAACCGTTCTTTACCTTGTTTCTTTTGTGTTTTTTAATCCTTATCTGTTGCTTCCTGTTATTGTTAAAATTTTATTATTTGAAGAAGTTGATAGAAAGAAAACTAGCAAAGATGGATCTCAGTAAAATCAATTTAAGTAATTATATACCTGCAATGCCTTATAAAGTTCGTGAATTATTTGACAAAGCAACAAATATTGTTATGAATTATACGGAAACAGAAGCAAAAGTTGTTGAAGCAACAAATGATGAATCTTGGGGACCACCTGGAAAATTATTACAAGAACTTTCTCAACTATCATATTCATATGAACATTATAATGAGGTACATCACATATATTATCAATATTATATTTATATTTGACTTTTGTATTATTATAGGTAATGGGAATGCTTTGGAAACGATGTTTTGGACAAGACAAAAAGTATTGGCGACGAACCTATAAAGTACGTTGTTCAACATTCTTGACAACAAGCTAAATAAATATTAGCAATTAGTAGTCTTTCTTTTATGTTTACATTGTAACTCGATAGATCATTGAACATTTTCAAGAAAATTAATATAAGACAATGGTATTGTATCATATCATAATAGATTTAAAGATGTGTAGGATCACTCTGCGTTACTGTAGAGGATAGGGTAAAATGGGGTCAAGGTAAACTTGTTGTAGAGTAGAGTGGGGTAATGGTAAACATTTTGTAGGATCACGATTAGAAAATTTTTCTAAAGCAGGCTACGAAAAAAAAAGACGTCGTCGGCGCATTTCTGTTGTGATACTATTTTGCAATTTATCACTTAGAGTTATAGATCGTAAGATTCAAAACTTTTGGATCCAGTAGAACTGTACTTTGACACTTACAATGAGATTTTCTAGTCTGAATAGGATAGCTGTGTCATAGATATGAGATACTTTTTCTCAGTATTTTAGATTCGGTTACTAGTACATTTCACGTATTTTTCAAACGAGTCGTCTGAAACATGTGTCGGATAGAATCAATTGAATTCGGAATTAATCCAACGTGCTCTATTTAAAGTTTTCTAGCTATGTTAATAATAAGGAACAATCAGATGAGAACTTCATAGGGCAAAGGTAAAAACAATTTTCTCAGTTAGAGTATAGAGTACGAAAAAAGTATACTCTGCACATCTCAAAATGCATACAAGATCGGTCGTATCGTTTCTTTTTTCTGTTCTTTTTCACAATATTTATTACTATATTTATAAAATAAACTGAAACGAATTGTTATTTTTTTTTATGCATATTCATTCAGTTTTCGTTGAAACAATTAATATGCACGAAGTATAATTATGTAAATAGTAGCTGTTTAAAACACTCAACTGTAAATATGATTGTGTTCTCAAAGTAATAAATTTTTTATATCGTACTTCATCTGAAGGAAATGTTAGTATAACTAAAAAAAAGAAAAAAACTCAAGCAGACTAAAAATTTTTATGTTAATTGCTTTGTATTAAAACAACAACTGGAACAGATGATTTCTTTTATTCATTATTTTAGTCACTTCTCGTTTTACTCTATTTAATAAAAAATGGTAGTGAAAAAGTCGTAACATCAGCAAGAGAACATCTTTATGATCTTAAAAGTTTAGAAAATTTTGCTTATACTGATGAACAAGGCAAAGATCAAGGCATAAATGGTAAAAAGATTATTTTTCTAAATGAAGTTTTTTTTTTAAAAAAAAATTGTTTATTTATAGTGCGTCATAAAGTAAAAGAAATTATTGAATTTATTCAAGATGATGATCGACTTCGAGATGAACGTAAAAAAGCAAAAATTAATCGAGATAAATATATTGGTGTTGGTAGTGATGCATCATCTTCTCGTTATAGTAAATTTTTTCAATTAGAAATTTTTTTTTTTAATATCGATTTTTGTTTAGGTGATCGTTGGACTGATTATGATGATTCAAATGATGGAAATAATTCAACAACAAAAAGAAAAGATTTTGTAGAATTAGATGGTCGATGGCGTTCAACAAATCCATCTATACTTGAAGAAGGTTTTAATAAAGCCGAAGATATAGCAAGTAAAGTTAAAGAATTAGTACTTGATCAACGACGTCCATCAAATGATTATTCACCAGACATTAGGTGATCATTAAAATACAATAAAATTTGCTATGATGATAAATTTCATGCGCGTCATCTGATAATAGATTGATGAATGCATTATCTTATCCATTCATAATATACTGAGCAAATTTTTTTTGTAATAATATTCTATATGTATTTCGTTTTTTTTTTTTTTGTAGTGATGATGAGAATCAATATTCTAAAAAAAATACTCAATTTCATGATACACCATGGAAAGATCAAACAAATGATTATCGAAATAAAACAAAGGTAAATTGAATTGAATAAAGTAAAAGAAATCATTTTGAAATATAGAATTTTTTTTATCATAATGAAAATGATTCTTTTATTACTATACAATTATTAAGTGTAAATAAAATTGCTTTAAGACAAATCTTTAAAAGCATTATTATTATTATTCTTTTTTTATTTATTTATATAACTTTGAATTATGCAAAGATTAAGTTTTTTGTTATTTCAAAATTTATCGATGACTTATGCCTTTCTTTTTTGTGTTAATCATATAAAATAATTTATTCATATATATATATAGGAAAGTGATTTTCAAGTAAAAAAATCTCCAACACCAAGTAATACTGCTCAAACATCTTCTCAAAATCGAGTAAGTTGAAAAATAAATAGAAGATAAGAGAGTTGTATGAAATGTGAAAATGTTTTGTTTTTTTTGTTCTTTTTCGCCAAGCTTTCATTCATAAAAATATAGTTACTTAATCAAGAATATTAACGGATGAACTCGAGCTTTAATAATTGATGCACTCATATGAACAATATGATTCTAATGAATAATTCTTTTTTATTAGAACTTGTTTCATATTTTTGAATAATAAAGATTCTATCAGATGTTTCATAAAGAAGATATTTTATTCGATATTATCTTCTCGTTTTATCGACAAGTTATTTTTTGAACTATTTCAGAATTATAAAAAAAAATTCTTTCCTTAGAAAGAAGTACACTAAATAAAAACAAGCTTTACCATCCAAATTGGAAGGTTGGCATCACTGACTTAATGCAAATATATGAAACATTTTGACAAAAATATGAACAAATCTCTGTAAAATAAAAATGTTTTGGATTTAATGAAGCAATATGAAAAGTATTCTTATTCATTTGATGAATATTTTAATAAAACATTACAATAATATTTTGTTCTTTTTATTTTAACTTAAACTATCTCTAGTACAAAGTTAATTTTTTCTTCATAAAATGCTACTGAATGTATCGATGACACGAAACTAAATAATAGTCATGTTATATGTATAATAAGGATCTTTTATTGCATATTCACTCATTTATTTATTTAAACAAAACAAAAAAATGATTTACTTTTTAAGTCTTCAACAACAAATAAAAAGCCACAAATGGTTCCACCTATTCCAATTCAAACAACACCTCAACCTCCTATTGCTGATTTATTAGGTGATGATGACGGCTTTACACCATATGTACAAGCTACAGGTGTGTCATCATCTATTGATGATGATTTTGGTCAATTTCAAGAAGCCTCTATCATTCCAACTCAACAAACAACATTACCAATTTCTACGTAAATGTTCTTGTTTTTCTTTTTTTTATTTTATCTTATAAAAATCAAATCTTTATTTAGAACACAACCTTCTATTTGGCCAACAACAACAACTGCATCAATTGTACCACCAGCATCAACACCAGCAACATTAATATTTGATCCATTTGAAACATTAGGAGAAACAACATCAACATCAAATAATCTTTTACAACCAATGAATTCACCATCACCACCACCATCAACAACAAATAAAACATTCTCAAATGATTTAAATTTATTTTTTCCATCGTCTCAACCGACTCAACAGACATCAATGTTTTTTCCTACTCAACAACAACAACAACAGCAACAAGCATTTGTACATCCACAAATGTTTCAACAACCAATGATGTTTTCATCAACTCAACAGCAATTTAATAAGCCAAATAATAATTCATTTAATGTAAGTTCAAAAATCCGTAAGAAATTCAATAAATAGAAAGAATAATTATCGATCAGAGAATACGAAAACAGCCATTTGTTATAGGCCATATTTCCCGATGTATTCCCTGAAGTTGCTAAACAAGAGCAACCAAAAGTTGTAGACAAACAGGTATCATTTGCTGTTATAACATATTTGCTGCTTATTATTAGGGAGTGAATTAACTAATTATATGATTTCTTTTTTGTTTTTGCATTCTTCTATCTTATAATTTATACAGATTTGTGTGAATAAGGAAAATCTTTTATAAACAAAAAAAAAACAAAATTTTTTTTTTTTAATGTACAAATATCTGTTATTTTTGCAGAATACTTGGTCATCAGCACAAGGAAAAATTGATATATCATTAAATAATCTCATACCACATACTCGTGGTGATGCTCAAAAAACTTCTTTACCACTCAATCAATTACTTAGTCCAACAAATAGTGGTTCATCATCATCGATGATGATGAATAAGAACACTCAATCGATGTTTTCAAATTCATGTATGAAAATAATAAAGAAAAAGAAAAAAATGTATATATGAATTTTCTTTCTTTTTAGCACTTCCAATGAACATTTCAGGCAATCCTACAAAACTTAAATAAATTATGAACAAAAAAGAAAGAGAAGTATATGTGTGCGTATATATGTGTGTGTGTGTATGTTGTGCAGAGCTTGTATATCTATTTTCAGCGTGAAGCTTTGTTGACTTATTTATTCTTTATTCAAAGTTGTTAAAAGACGGATTAATTATTGTACAATTAAATAAAATAATTTCTTGAGTTTTTCTTTTTTTTTCTTTTTTTTGATTATTCATCAAAATATGATTAATCTGCATTTCTTATTATTTTCTTTTCTCTTAATTTCGTCCATTTTCTTTTGTTTGCACATTTTCTTTAAATTAATTCTTGTTTGTCGAACAGTGGAATTCTGTTTTTCTTTTTTCGTTTGGTTAGTTTTCTTCTCTCTATATTTCTGTCAATTGAATTCCTTTTTTTCTTCTTCTATATATATATATATATACAAACATTTATGTTCTAATTTAATACAACAAATGCGTTTTACAATGCTCGACTGTTACATAGAATATATATATATATATATATATAAATACTCTGTTTTTTTTTGTGTGCAAGCAGAGATAAACAATAAGCCAAAATAAAATATAATAATAAATAAATTCTATCAATGAATAAGATGATGTTCTTTAATAATATCGTTTAAATCTTGATTTTCAAATAATGTTGCATGATGACCATTTTTGACTAAATATAATATTGCACGTGCTAATCCTATTGATGTTATAACCCATGATGGTTTGATTACTTTAAAAATATACAATATTGGTACAAAAGCTCGTTCATACCAAGGTTTATTTGAATGTATTTGTGTAAATAAAATACCACCCGGACGTACAGTATATATTTCTTTAAGACCACTTTCTTTAATTAGATCATTTTCAGTTTTACCTTTAATACGACCAAATAAAAATCGACTTTGTTCTGTTGAATCAGCACCCGTTCCACTAACAAATATAAATCGCATATTTGGATTAACATGTGCTATAGTTTTAGCAGCTGCTAATGTATAATCATGTGTAATTTTAATATATTCACTTTCATTAACAGCATTTTGTGATATGCCTAATGCCCATATACATGCTTGATGATTTTCAAATAGATTTGACAATGAATTATAATCGAGAAAATCTGTATGAATAATATTAGTAAGTTTATCAGAGATTAGATTCTTGTCGAGAGGACGTCGTGTAATAGCTGTTATATGTTCAATATTTTTATCTTCAATGGCTTGTCGAACGCATTCCGAACCAACACTACCACTAGCACCAAATATGATTATTTTCATATTTAACTGAAAAAAAAAAAGATTTAATTTGAGATATTCTTAATTAAATAATGTTCCAAAAAAATATTTATTGAGAATAAAAACGAAAATTAAATAAATTATTATTTGACAAGTAAACCATAAAAAAATAGAACTCTCAGTATTTTACATGTTTCTCAGTAGCCTTTCACAATATAACGTCACAGTTATTTTGGTAATGGATTCTTTATTCGAGTCTCTACAAAGTTGCATCTTTCACGTATATGAAATAGCATAACTTATTTGCTTACATTCAATAAAACGAATAGATTCAAGATATATCACGTTCAGAATTCTTTTTCTTTTTAAACTAAAGTGTTTGCATTGGACTTTGTATGTTATTTCGTTAGCATTAACTCTTAATCACATAAAATGTCGATTAATTATTAATCCAAAACTAGTTTTAATGAAATCTTCAGAAGAATCGAAGACATAATTGCGTTTTTGGCTCCCTAGCAGAGAACATTGATTGTTGTAAAAACAAATCATAGATGTATTTCCTCTAGATACAGAAGATGATCCTATGCATAAAGTTTCAAAGTATTTGTATTGATTTCTGCCTTATTAATTAACAAAAAACAATCATTTGGTCAAATAATTATGTCTTTGATACTTCTGAAGATTTCATTAGGATTACTTCCAAGCTTATAATTGATTAGAGTATTCTACAATTAAATCGAAGACTGACTAAATCACTCACAAGGTCGAATGCAAAAATTCTTGATAAAGAAAAAAAGTTGTCTCATTATATTGAAATTTTGCTGAGAACAATAAAAAAAATCTTGAGAGATTCATTTTTTATAGGTCACTCGTTATTATTAATGGACGGATTAGAGAAGAAAAAAAAAGTAATTCATTATAGAACAAAACTAAAAAAGACGAAAATAACGATCTGTTAGAACCATATCATCGACAAATCTAAAATATAAAAAAATAATAGTAAACAAAATAGAAACTTAAAAAAAAAAAATCAAATCTTCAAATATCTCACTTAGTCATTTCAGATTGTGCATGAACATGACGTTTTTCTTGAGTCCATGGTTCTTTTACTTTTAATGGTTCATCTTTCGTCCACCAGCCAACTAATTATACCATGGAAATATATTCTATATCAAGAAAAAAAAAAGTTTTTTTTCAATCATTTACCTTCTTGAGCAGCTGTCATTGGACGTCTCATAATTTGATTCGGATTTTGATCACCACGCACATGCATTTGACGTAGAGTATGATAATTTCTAGTTATTATACAATATTATTTTCTAATTTATTAACTAATTAAATTCTTACAAATTCGATACAGCAGGTGATGCCCATTCGCGTGATTGTAAATCTCCAGCTAATTCTCGAGCTAATTGTTTTTCAAGTGCACTTTTACTTTGGCCTACTACTGGAACTTTTCTTAATTCCTTTGAATCAGTTTGTGTACTTGTTGGTTCAAGACGTTTCATAGATTTAAATCGATTATCATAACCCATTAAAGTCAAATTGAAGAATGCCATATTTTTTTTTATCTAAAAAAAAAAGAGAATTTAAAACAAAAAATGATGTTTTGCATTTGAATTTTGGTTTTGATCTATTTGACAATTATCGTTCGATTTGTCAACATATTGATAAGATCAAGTAGTAACAACATTTTGTTACATAGAATCCTATTAGCCATAAAGCTTACCAATTAGATAATCAGAAGTACATTAAAATGACAAAATATTAGTATTCTCTCTGATAAATAATCTGAAAAAAGTGACTTTTTGTTCTATTTCTGCTTTTGATATTAAGTGTTGATTTGGTTTGAAATTTGTTTTCTACATAAGACTCATACCTCATTAGCATATTCACGGCAAGATAACCCACCGGTAGATCCCACTACAGATAATAGTCAAAGATAAAAAACTAAGAAGCTCTTCGGAAATATATTCGTCTATTAAACTCGATGAAACTAGCTGTGCTGATCGTTTTGACGAAAAAGAAAATTTTAATTTGACAATTAAATGACAGTTTTCAGGTCAAAATATTGAATGGCGGCAGATGTGTTTGAGATTTTTTTTAGTATTTTAACCTTGGCATTGTCATTTATTTGTCAAATTAACCGTATTTCTACTAAAATGACCCGTGCGAATAACAACATAGAATATTATAAACGAACAAATTTTCGAAGGTTCTATTGTCTTTATGATTGATTATCTATAATAAAAAGTTTATTCGTTTAGTAAAATACTAGAAATTCCAACTAATAATAAATAGTTAGACCCCCGTGTGAGAAAGAATGCGAAGACATCTATAAAAGCAAGTATTTATATGCAAGAATTCAACATAAAACTCACGAAGATTTGTTAAGGCGAGAGTGAGTTTAATTTATTCAGTATAAGTAATAAACAAGTATCGAGTTTTCTTGTTATTCTTGACAAACTCAATACTTATTTGTGCTCTTACATAGTGATGAATACTTCTCGAAAATATTTCATCTGGTTGTGCCCCTCTGGTAACATAAATCTTTCCCTATGGAAATTATTAAATAAAAAAAAAGAACTACAATATATTAGTAAATCTGCTCAAAAATAATGCATTTTAGTAAATTAATATATAATTACAAGAATATCTAAACAGTGAGTAAATATTATTTTATCTTGTAACTCTAAAAAAACTAAAAAAAAAAAAAAATTGGAAGAAAATTAATTTTAAAATAGATGTAAAGTATCAATGATTAATACTGAAGTTGGTTTTATAGTCCTTTGTTATAATAAACATAAGGTAGTTGTGTTTTTGATTGAATTTCTTTTTCAAGTTCTTTAGTAGCTACCTAGAAAATAAAACAAAACTCTTTAAGAAAAAGAAAAAAAGGAATTTGATATTTACTTTAGATCTTTGTGGAAATAATGCTATTGACATTGGTAATGCTAAACCAAATGAAATTGTACATGCAAGTGTATTTAATGGTAAATTAAGACGTGGAAAACGACGAAGAATATTTCTATTAATATATAATATTTTATTTTTTTAGTTTATTTACATTAATAAAAAAAACAAAAAATATCTTACTTTTCGAATGCTAACATTATAATAGGTGGAAGAGATAGGATTGGTACTGGTAAAAAAGCACGTGTCATTGCCATTTCAGTTAAAGCCTAAATATAGATATGAATTTATATTTATATAGATATGATATCGTTAAAAGTGGAAAAAATTAATAACTTTTTTAGCTGCTACTTTTGATACACCTATTGAATTATTTTCTTCATCGAGTACTTCGATACCATCATATAATTCATGAAAACGCATAAAAAGAACATTACATGTACTTGCACATGCTATAATTAAAATTCAATATAAATTAGCATATTTACGAAATTTTGTATATGCATAAAAAACAAAATCGAATAATATTTTTCAAAACTGACAACTCTTATTATACTTTCATATTGAACAAAAAACAACAACAACTGAGCGATGTACTGAATGATGATTTATCATATGAGGATATGTAATTTATCTTACCAACAGCAGGTAATGGAATAAATCGTTGTACAATTGTTTTCAGTGTTGGTGGAAGTGATCTTGCTCGGCGAACAGCCACAGTAAGACCAACCTATCAATATAAACATATAAAGATATGTGAAAATAAATAAATAACTTACAGCAATCGAAACTGAAACAGTCACTGCACTTAAATATCCAATAACAAATTTTGATACAGGTGTATGTTGTGTTGCATTTCGATTTGAAT